AGCGGTACCACGCTAAATGACTCGGCCTACCGGTAAGTTACCGGCGGTAACCTGATAGTTCTAATAACCCTAACTCACGAGCATTGACATTTTTGGCGTGTTCAGGATCGAAACAGGAAAATACGTTCAGAACAGTACATGTACATGTACTTCGAGAACGTGAGACTTTTGCCATACGTTATGTTTTGGCACCTTAAATCTGTGTCAGCACATTAAAGTCTGGGCAGCACATTACTTTACGGCACCAGCACAAATAACTGTGCTGTTTTTGGCGGAGCCTCGTCTCTGGTGCTGTGCACGGATTGAAGATGGAGCAGCCAATCAGAGGAGCTTATGCGGACAGGTCATTGCGGACCAAATCGCAATTTGCATTTTGTTCTATTCAATTAACTGTCACTAAATTTGTAGTCCACACCCTGTAACTGCCACTCAGTTGCGCAAAAATGCCGAAGCGAATCCTGTGGACCGAGCTGGCGCTCGCCTCCGAGGCGGCCGAAGGCGAATCGATCCTCGAGCGCCTGAAGGCGTTCGACATATGCAAGAGTAATACTCTGGTGTGCACCGTGTGCACATTGGCTGTGGACCCACACAAGATGCGTTATCGTCTCCTGAAGTGCAAGTCCGAAACGTGCAGCGAGGCCTCGGAAGTGGCGTGTTCGTGGCGCGGCAAGCTGCTCACGTGTCTCTCTACATCTCGTATGTCTATCTACGAATCGGGTGTCCACACAACTCTGCTAGCTTCCCCGCAGAGAAAGAAGAAGCTCACGACTGCGCAGAAGACGTTCTGCCGGAAGATGGCAGCTCATCACCTCAGGCCGCAACGCATCCGACATGCGCTGGCGCGCAAGTTTGACACGTCTTTGGAGAATTTGCCTGGACTTCAAGTTGTCCAGAACTTCATGAACCACTACAGCCGATCGTCCTTGCAGAACCACGACCGAGTGGATGAAATGCGGGATTGGGTCCACGCGAGGGTTTTTACGGGCGCTGAGGCCTTGGATCAACCTTTTACTTTTGCGTGGAGACTGGATTGTGATGGGAGACCGGTAGTTGGCAATGGATCGAACGAAAGTCCTTTTGTACTAGGGATATCAACGAAGACTATAATTATGCGGCTACATTTACCAGAGGACAGCTTCATTCTACACATTGACGCCACTTATAAAATGAACCACCGTGGCTACCCAGTCGTCGTTGTTGGAGTGTCCGACCGGTCCCGGGGTTTTCATTTGGTGGCTCTATACATTGTGTCACAAGAAACGCACTGTATTTTTGAGGAGGTGTTGCTATCTTTACGTCGTCAGTACTACTATCTCAGTGGAAGGGAGCTATCGGTCCGCAACGTTATGGCGGACGCTGACAGGGCACAGTACAACGCGAGCTGTACGGTGTTTTCTGACTGCGCGGGTTTCCAGTTTCTGATGTGTTTTTTTCATGTGATTAAAAACATCCAGAAGGCTATCAAGGGATTTCCCTCGGTTGTGTCGGCTTCCTTGATGAGAGACGTGTATAATTTACACTTTGCCCGGAGCGAAATGGAGTTCAACGGACTTCGGGGCCGCTTTTTATTGCTGTGGATGCAGAATCCGTTTTTAGTGGGTTTCGCTTACTATATGAGAGACCAGTGGCTCTATGGACCTTTTTCAAAGTGGCAGCGGTACCTGACGCCGTCGGGCTTTGCTGCAACGAATAACCCGTCGGAGACATTTAATGCTCTACTGAAGCGGGACTACACACTGAGAAGACGACTGAAAATGGGCACTCTAGTACAAGAACTGGCAGCTTGTACCCACGATCTATCCTCCGCCACGAGGAAATTCAGTTTTGCCATAGCAGTGCCAGCAACCCTCACGCGAAGGGTTTCCGAATTGATGAAGGAAAGGTTGATTGGGGTGTGGAACGGGGTAGAACCCCAGCCTGCGTATGCTGGAGGGCACACTCTGGTGTATGTAGCTTCGCAGCTCGCAAAACGTGTACAAGTTGCGCCTCACAAGCGGTCAGAGGAAGGGGTCGCAGTCTCGGCCCAGATGGGGGCGAACTATGCGCGCATGGAGCGCATGGAGGTCGAAGGCCAGCCGTGGGGTGGCTGGCCAGTGGATATCACGAGTCGTTGGTGTCCTTGTAGCTATTGCTATGCGTTTGGCGTTTGTGTCCATGTCTTATACGCCCTGAAGGCCACCCAGCATGTCGACAGCAGCGGAAGGAACGTCTTCGTAAGCCGCAACAAGCGGAAGCGAGGTGGCGACTCTTCAGGTGGCAGACCGCTGTCGGTTGGGCCTGCGCTTACTTTCTATAGGCTCCAGCACAAGCTTTACGTGGACTCCGGACGTGTGGAGCGTTGTATAAGGCTAACAAGGGTCACGGGCAAAGGATATACCCGAGGGTTTGCTAGAAATGCTCCAGAACAATCACAATCGAGATTTACGTAGCAGTGGGTAGTGCAGCGTGCGCATTTATCCAGATAGCAACTAGTTAACCCGAGAAAAAAGTTTCACTCGCTTTATCCTAACAGAAATGCCCCCATGTAAATCGTGTTTCCCTTGTCAGAACTGCCTAAACGTTGTATTTACTTTCTCTGAGGTCAACAATATGCTATCGAAGATTCCTACTACACTGTTTACTCGAGGGTTTGTACTCATCTAGTTTAGTTGCTGCCATCTTCCTCCGACCAGCACTGATCGCAGGCACAGTTAAACCACGTCTGGTTCCCGTAATTCACCGTAATTTGAGCGCCTGCATGTACACTCTCGATCATCCGCACAAGCACTTTGACATTGGCTCGGTCGGATCTGGAGCTCTACGAAAGTCGCGTTCGGCGTACATGAATGGCTGATAAAACGAGTGATTGAGCCGCACTTGTGAGCCTCCAAGTACACGTACTTGTTATTGCGCGACTTCGCGTTCAACAACATTGTGTATCCAGTATTCTGCTTCATTTTTTGCCCTGGCATTCCAGTTATGATCGGATCGTACGCGCTGAGCTCGCCTGCGTACTCTCCAATCACATCGCCGACACACAAGTCCGTGGTGGTGAAGACGCCGGTCCCGACACGACCCGTGTCGAACAACTTCAGGGTCTGTAACGTCTTGGGAGCATTGCTGCACTTACCATCCAAATTACATGAGGTCGGGGTGCATTACAATGCGCTGTCAGTGTTTTCGCACGTGTCCATGAAGCAATCACCTGTACAGGAACACCGGCCGAAGTCACCGATGTCTGGGAACTTGACATTCTCCGGATTGCTGCACTCTTCAATCCTCATGACGTTCTCGGGCCACTGCACCTCAATGGGCAAGAAGTAGCCAGATGTAGGTGGCTCTTCATAGGTGGAGCGACGTTGATGGAGCTCTCGAAGCCGCTTGCACAGACCCGGAATACGTAGGATGGCCTTGATCTTCTTAGCCTTTGTTGAATGCACGTGGTAGATGTGTGATCCGCTTCGGGTCACACCGCAGAGTCGTTGATGGCGCCGTTTGCGGGATCGTGGCTGGGTCCACTCTCCAGCCTTTACCTTTTTCTGGTGGCGCCCCTTTTGGCGCTGCCATCGCGTTGGCACGGTCTCTACAAACCCCGTCGCCGCCCGCAGCTCGGCGTCCGTCACCTCGGCCTCCACAATGGACTCCATCCGCCGCAACTTGTTGCGCGACCAAGGAGGAGACAATGGCACGTCAGTCGAGGTGCTATTGTCCTCTCCGTCCACCGCAGCACCTTCTCCATCCTCACCACCGTCCTCTCCATCCTCCGGAGCGTCACCGTTCATGTCGTTACCGCTATCGACGGCCGTGACATCAACTATCACATGTGGTGGCTGACTGAGGGTACATGAAGGCAAACCCTCGGGTACAACCTGGCTATCCGACGCTCCAGAGCTAGTGGAGTCGCTCTGCAACCGCTCTGTTACTGGAATGGGCGCTCTGGGCGCGCTGGAGCGCTCTGCTTCATGGACTAAGGACTTTGAAAGCCGCGAAGCCGTTCCATCGCTCTCGGAAGGCAACACCGCTCGTATGGAGGCAAAGACCTCGTCCAGATGCGCCTTGAGGGCGTCACGAAGGCGTATGACCCGTGTGGGCGCTTCGTACACCCCCGGAACTAGCTGAAAGGATCGCAGTTTGCGCCAACGAACTCTGTCCAGGAGCAGTGCGGTGCCAGCGATGTCGAAGCGACGACGCACCATATTCGTCATGGGGAGTGTTTCCTGCGTATCCAGCGTGACTGGATACGGGTCGTTGCGCGTGCCTGATATCTTCAGGACGACCCCCACCCGATAATCACCACACACAAAGGCTTGTGAATAGTACTCTAGTACATCGCCTGGCCGCAACGTCTCTGGGGGGAGCTGCGAGGCGCTAACCCCCACCATTGCGGTCCCTGGAGTTCTGGAGCACCTGAGAGCGCTGGACACCTGGGCGGTGGTGGTGATTCCCGAATGAGATGCATGACGATCGCAAAAGTAACTTTGAATTTTCAAAATAAATGCTACTTTACTTACTTTTAACAAAAGTTACTTTACTTATTTAGTTAGCATTTTTTCTGTCTTTTTGTGTTCTAATCTTCCCGGCATTGTTGTGCTGGTCAGATTTCTTCGTGTGTTTTTAACGTTTCCTCATGTACTTCAGAAATTGGCGCGCGAGACGGAGCAAGATGCAGAGCGGACGCTTTGACGCAGGTGGCTGCATCATTTTACTTCGCTGGGATTCTAAGTCTGGACCAGAGCCAGCATGTACATGTACAATACAGTACAGCACCGTGATCAGTAGACCAGATTATGCTGTCGATCAAAACACGACCAAATCACAGTCAAACGAGCTGTTCACCGTGAGCGTGAACTTCACGCTTGGTCGATTAATCGACAGCGAACCGGATCTTCAGTGCTCACCAGCAAACCCTACGGTATCCATACGTGCTTGTCTCTCTAAGCTGGAGCTCATTCCGTTTCTTTCGTCCACTGCACTGTCACGGGAGAATCGCCTACGACCTGCTCACCTGATTTCGGTCAGCCATGGACTCTCTTAACCATGGTACCAGTAGCATTTCTCGACTGTCCCAGCTGTATATGGTCTCCATAACGCGTGAGAGGGCCCGCAAAACAAACCTCGAGTCTCCGTCACACGTGTTGCTTCAGACCGATGGCAAATTATCACCAGATCCGCTCACAGGTAGGCCACAAAATGTGGCTCACGTTACGAACGCGATCATGTACGGCATTATCAACTCCATCCTGACGATCCCCACCATGTACGGATACGCCGTCATCCTCTTCAGCCACAAAGACTTCGAAGACTTTATGCCGGCACTGTCCAAGCTCGTCATCTTCTCCAGCGTCGTACACCAGGTCATGTTCACACTCATGAGCTCGCTGCCGTTCTCCATCGGCCAAGTGCAAGATGCCGGTCTCATCTTTCTCAGTACCATGGCCACTTCAATCTGCGACTCACTGGGCAATGACGTGCCGCTGGAGGCCAAAGTGACCACTTGTATCATCGTCATCGGCATTGCTACAGCCTCACTCGGTGTCTGTCTCGTGGTCATGGGCAAGCTGAAGCTGGCTGCACTCGCGTCGTATCTGCCGATGCCCGTGATCGGTGGCTACTTGGCCTTCATCGGTATTTTCTGTTTCTACGCTGGCCTCGCCTTGTGTACAGGTCTCGTCGTGAACGACATGGAGTCCATGATCGGCGTCTTCGACAACGCCCACGACGTCCTGCTGTGTGTCCCTGGTATTCTCGGTGGAGCTTTCCTGCTGGTTGTCTCGCAACGTTACGACAACTCATTTATCCTGTCTGGAGCCATCTTGATCATGCCCGTGGTGTTCTTCTTCATCGTGTTGGTGGGCGGCATCTCCATGGACGACGCGCGGGATGGAGGCTGGATCGACCCGGCCAAGGATCCCGCCACTGTCTCGGAGCTGCTCGATCTCTTCGACTTTAACGAGGTGCATTGGGACCAGCTATCTAAACAATTCGGAACGTGGATCGGCATGGTCTTCATCGTCGCGTTCTCGTCCTGTTTGGATATCGCCGCTATTGAGCTTGACATGGGCAGCAAACTCGACTTCAATCACGAGCTCAAGACCGTCGGCTGGTCGAACGTCGTGAGCGGTCTCTTGGGAGGATACACAGGATCCTACATCTTCTCGCAGACCATCTTCACCTACCGTTCCAAGACCAACTCGCGCATCGTCGGTGTGTGCGTCATCATCTCGGAGTTTGCCATCGTGCTGGCCCCCGTGTCCGTCATGAGCTACGTGCCTCGCTTCTTCTTCGCTGCCACGTTGATCTTCATTGCTATCGACCTCATGATCGAGTGGCTCCTCCTCACGTTCAAGAAAATGTCGTTGCGCGAGTATGCGGTGCTGTGGATGACGTTCGTGGCCGTGAATCTCGTGGCGCTGGACGAGGGGATGCTCATTGGTGTGGGCATTGCAATTGTCAACTTCCTGTTGGGCTACATTCGGCTGCCTGTTGTGAGCAGGAAGCCTCGTGCGTCAGGGGCAGCACGCACTCTCTCGGAGCGGAGAACACTGGACCAGAAGCAAGATGCGATCGCGTATTTTGAGCTGAGTGGTTTCCTATTCTTCGGTTCGTCCGTGCAGATCCTCGACATTGTCCAGAAGGCAGTTATCGTCCGTAAGAAAGTACCGGGTGCTGAGGCTGGCGATGCTAGGGCCAGTTATCTAAGTGATGTCGGCGCGCCTTTGACGCCAGATGAGCACCGGATACCCTTGATCGAGTGTCTGGATGGAACCCCTGCTACTGACCCCGACGCCGTCCCGACCAAGTTCGTCGTCATGGATTTCACGAACGTCACGGCGATGGACGCGACCGCCGCACGCAGCGCATTCTTGGTTCTGCAGAAGTACTGCAGCAACCACGACATCACCGTCGTATACGCCGGTGCGCTTCCCTCAATCAAAGAAGTGCTGGTCAAGAACGAGATCACAAGCGAGGAAAGCTTCTACTCGAGTGCAGAGTCAGCCCTCGAGCTTTGTGAGAACCGACTTTTGGCTGGTGTCGGCAGCGCGATGGCGACGTCAGGTCGCAGTAGTGTCCACCACGACGAAACTTTGGACGAGCTGTTGCAGTACTTCGCTCTTGAGTTGGACGACCCGCAAGTGTCAAAAACTGCCGACCAGTTTTTCCAGAAGCTCGAGGTGCCTGCGGGTCACGAATTCTACAGCTTCGGACAACCGGCAGACTGCTTCTACTTCCTCGCAACTGGTTGTGTCGCCCTTGACCGCAGTAGGTCGGTCGAGTCCAATATATTCAACGTACTGACGGGTTCCCTCTTCGGTGAGGTGGACTTCTTCGGTCGTCAGCAGAGACAAGCGATGGCAACCGCGACAGAATCGTGTGTGGTGTTTGAAATGCGTCGTGAGACGTACGAGACCATGCAGGAGCAGAATCCGGCACTGTACACACGGATCCGCGACGTGGTGATGCAGTCCATGGCAATGTCACTCAGCAATACCTCGAACCATAACTCGATGAAGTCGAATGACGTCGCTATTCGAGTAGAGTAGGTGGGGCCACAGCTTAGAAGCCAATAGTTTCCTGTGAACATGTTAGACGCGCTTTTTTAGGAAATATAAAGTAACGTATTATTATAGTACGGTGTGCCACACTGAGTGTACACCGTTCACTCTAATTAGTCGTGCTTCGAAATTAATCGTGCATTCGCGCTTTAGTGACGTCACATATCTGGGATTTATTTAGTAGCCTCATCAATTCTAAACAAACGCAACGGTTTCTCGCTAATTACTTTATTCTAGTATGCTTAATTTGAAATATGAACGAACAGTTTTTTAATAGCGGGCGATTAAACTTTCAGAATTCTGTGCTCCGACCTAAACACCATAATTAGTCATGCCATGACTAACCTACGCGCGAGATGCCGGCCTCACGAGCGGCGCTCTTGCAATTCACAGACGGGGTCTTGTTCGCTGTCGAGAGCTCTTTGGAAATTATCATCACGCGCGATGAGGATTTTGCGATCGAGCGCGTCGAAGTGCCTAGAGGCGTTTACGACATGATCCAGCGGGACTTTGTGGCTGCCGAGACTCTCTCTACGTTAGACGTGTTTTCGAACTGGCACCTGACGGTAGTGGTGTTCGTCACGTGCTGGCGCGATCACTTTTATAACCTGCTCGGGTCTCATTTTAGATGAAGCTTTCTCGTCGGTGACCATTCACTCTAATTAGTCATACTATGACTATACCATGACTAATTAGAGTGAACGGTGTAGAGGCTTTCAGTAATTTGTAGTCGAAGTACAGAGCAATACTACAATGCTCACAAGTACTATTTGGTATTTCTACTACAAATTATTGTTGAATGATTCTACTGTAGTACTTCGAAGTATTAGTTTTAAGAAGTTGCACTGCTCCCACTAAAAAAAATACTGACCAGATACTGACCAGTTGGCTATCCGGTTGTACATGTTTTACAAACATAGTAGTTACAGAAATATTAGTGTGCGAAAATTGCCTTTTAGCCAGGTTAGTGACTGACTAACTCACTGAGAGACTCAGCGCACAGGTTGTGTAATACACGATTTGGTACTTCGTTGCAGTTATTCCGTAAAAGGCTCAACCTACCGGTATTGATAAAGTTTACCGGTGGAAGTGCTCTTCTGGATGCACTCATTTAACATTGGGAACGCACCTCAACCTGTTACTCACTCTACGTCTTGCCGTCTACTGGTAGCCACCAACTAATCTTAAGACATACTTGCTCGATTCAACCACCGCAGAGTCCATAAGGCACAGCAATAGTCGAATCCCCCGACTACCCCAGCTGTCCATGGTTTTCATAACGCGTAAGAAGGCCCATAAACAAACCTCGAGTCTCCGTCACACATGTTGCTTCAGACCGATGGCAAATTATCACAGGACTCACTCAAAGGTAGGCCACAGAATGCGACTCACGCTACGAACGCGATCATGTACGGCATTATCAACTCCATCCTGACCATCCCCACCATGTACGGATACGCCGCCATCCTCTTCAGCCACAAAGACTTCGAAGACTTTATGCCGGCACTGTCCAAGCTCGTCATCTTCTCCAGCGTCGTACACCAGGTCATGTTCACACTCATGAGCTCGCTGCCGTTCTCCATCGGCCAAGTGCAAGATGCCGGTCTCATCTTTCTCAGTACCATGGCCACTTCAATCTGCGACTCACTGGGCAATGACGTGCCGCTGGAGGCCAAAGTGACCACTTGTATCATCGTCATCGGCATTGCTACAGCCTCACTCGGTGTCTGTCTCGTGGTCATGGGCAAGCTGAAGCTGGCTGCACTCGCGTCGTATCTGCCGATGCCCGTGATCGGTGGCTACTTGGCCTTCATCGGTATTTTCTGTTTCTACGCTGGCCTCGCCTTGTGTACAGGTCTCGTCGTGAACGACATGGAGTCCATGATCGGCGTCTTCGACAACGCCCACGACGTCCTGCTGTGTCCCTGGTATTCTCAGTGGTGCCTGGTTGTCTCGCAAGGTCCCGATAACGGAAAACAATGAAGAATCTGACCCACCTGATCAGTAATCGGCACCAAATTATGGTCGAATTTAAACCATGTTAGTCTTCTACAGTAGAGCTCTTTTGCTGTGTGCTGAAACTCAACTAAATCGTGGTTTGCAACAGATTTTGCATTTGAAAACAGGCAAGTTGCGTCATTAACCAATTGACAAAGGAAGAAAATAAATATTCCCGCGTTACGACCAAATGTATCACAAAGATAAAAAAACTCACATGTTAGATCTCATTACTCGACATGAAAAACGTAGCGGCATCTAGCTATACTTCACCCCTTCAACCATTCTATTGCGATAGAACCTTCGATAGCCATCGTATAAGTGAGGGTAGTGCTCCAGCACCCATTTGGGTTTCTTACGTGCGAGTACAAGCAACGCATTATAAATGGACAGTCTCTTCACCTTGCCGCCGAATTGCTTCACTTTCACGGGCACTTTGAAGTTGATAGCTCTCTCCTCAGCGTCATTCGTATCTCTCTTGCGCAGGAAACGCTTGATGGGGATGTCGTTCTCCCAGGTAGCTGGTGCGCTGATCTCCGCATTCTGGCCCTGACCGGAGGTGGAAGTGGCAATCAAGGCAGCCGTTGCAAGGAATATGATGTAGCTGAGACGCATTAGTTTTCTGGGATGATTTTTCTTCGAGGCTTCGATATGCTGGCGGCGGATTTCAAACTGAAGGTGACTGTGTCCATCTCTACTGTAGAGTCTGGTCCGAATCTGTACTTGCAGTACCGTATGCGTTTGAGCAAAGCCCTTCTGCACGATTTTATTTTTTTGTTCGGAAATGGTTTACGCAAAATTTTACGCAAAATTTTGGCGTGATCATGCCCGCCAGCTGATTAATCCCAGTAAAAAAAAACCTTCATAATTAATTTTCTTACCTTGTCTTTTAAATATTTTAGATTAAAAATGAGGTCGAATGCTTTGTTTTCGGGTCCAGAAAAAAACTTCAGAATGAGGGAGGCCTGATTGGCTTTTGTAACGGGGTATGGACCAAGTGTACTACAGGTTACATTGTGTGAATTGTCACTCTCCGCGATACCTGGTACATGGTACCAGGGGCTCTAGAGGCCCACCAATGGCTAGCAGCATACCGAATTCCCTTAGTTATGACATTCAGAAAAATGTTTGGACATAGACCAGAAATTGCATGTCAAAGTGCTCATAATTTTGTTTATTGTTGTAGATCAATATCTGCAACGGCTCGGAACATGTCGTCAAAATCATCGTCCATACTAATAGTGTAAATTCTTCTATCTCCTTGTCTAAATCCCCCGATATAAGGATTTCATTCACGATGGCATTTGCATCCTCGTGCACTGGGGTACTTATAGGCTCAATATCGTCGTGTTCCCCACCACCACGCTCAATCAAACCCATTCCTCCCTCAAATCGTTTATCCAGCGTACCCAACAAAGCTCCTTATCTTTTGGCGGCACCGTGCCCTCACCTTTCGCTCGTGACTTTTTCTTGGTGGCACCACCACATTCGCCGCATAACCTTTCGAGTTTGGGCCGTGTCCGGTGCCAACAATGATTAAAGTGTACGGTGGCTGTCATATTTAGATTGAGGAAGATCAGTACAGAAATTACTGATTGCTCGCTTGATGTCCCCACCTCTTGCCAAGTGGTCTAGGACCTCTAGTTTGTGCGCCGCTGTGAAGGATGACACGATGTTCTTCCTCACTTTGCAGCATCGGCCTCCTGGGAGTCGTGGTCGCCCTTTTGGGCGCCGGCGTTGCGTAGGAGCCATCCGATGGCAAAATGCACTGACAGAAAGACAGTTCGTACGACTGAATGCGATAACTAAGGATGCCCGGAGGTCTTTCCCGCTCGGCCCCTGATTGGCTGAAACCCTCCTGAATGTCATAACAAATAGTACGTGATAACTAAGGGAAATTCGGTAGCTTCACTATAGGCCACTTATAGTTTGTATATCAGACTCAAGCTTAGGCTATCTAAAAATCTGTTTGCAACATACCTATAACTGGTTTCGTCGCTCCCTTCGGCAAGGGACCTGTAAACTGCTGCTCACTGAAAGTTTGTAAACTCTCGGAGGCCGACTTTCTCCAGCGCAAGGTGATGCGTGAACCCATCACACTTGGTAGCACTTGTAGTCAATCCACGCCAACGCAGGAAGATTATCTGAGCCTCTGAAGTTCTGTCGCCATGGACAGGAGTGACTTTCCTCACCTGAACGACGCACAGTTCGAGTCGGTTCGGAAGACGGAAGGCTTCTTCGGGATGAAGGCCTCGCAGAGCCTGATAGGCGTCAGCACCGGCTGAGCAGCTCGAACGTGTCAATGCGTTTGGCGCTGATGAGCGAGAGCACATCACACATGTGCGGGGAACCCTGCAGGTTCCGATGGCGGAAGCAAGTCTACCACACCAGAAGCCAATACGGCTGTGAATCCGTACGAAGGGAAGGAAAGTGAGAATCTCCACTTCTGGGTCCGAGAGGTAGAGCTCGCTATGAACGTGGCTCTGCTTGCCACCCTTAGCTGTCGCGCCAAAGCCTGGGCGTACACGCGGGAGGCGATCTCGTCTGGATGTTTCACATCCTGAACCCATCTGTGCGAACAGCTTCAAGCCGCATTTCTCTCGGCAAACTACGAGTATTGCCAGCGCTTGAGATTCCTCTCATGCAAACAAGGAAGACGTGAGCTGCCGAGTACATCCAAGAGAAACCCATGGCATCCCTAGTGAGCAACTCTCATCAAGGTGTCAGTGCCAGGCGCGTACGCTGGCCTCCGCGTGGCCAAGGTGTTCCGTGTTGAATCGGGCGAACCCCACCGGATCAGTTCCCACGGGCTTGGGTCCGTCGAACATCACATCATTCGTTGTTTCGGCAGCGGGAAGCTAGGCCGCTTCAAGCGACACTGCCCCGCGGTGTAATGGGCCCCTCCATTACATAAGTAGGTAGATTTCTTTACATAAGTAGGTGCATCAGCACACGACTAGCGTGTGCTGAAATGCTGTCATGCCATTGGCTGATATATGGGGAGCCAGACCCATTATTAGCCAATTGGACTATGACGTGTATTTGAGTGGCCAGGGCTGTGGCCTTGGTCCTAAAATAAAGTCAGGGTTGATTTTTCCTTAAACCTAAGACTCAGTCGTCCTATTGCGAGCTTCCTCAACACTATAGTGTAAGCAAGTAACGGAGTAAATACCTGGCCCGTTACACGCGGAGAGACACCACAGGCGGGTTTTCCCCAAGCCCGCCCTCAAGGGTCGCTGGCGGAATCCAAGCCCCGAGGCCAAGGGAATGCCAGAGACCATTAGGGGCATACTGGGGAAGATCTGAATCTTCGTGAGCGGTACGCGGGCGGTGTGTATCACAGGAACTTAGCCCCTGTGCGTCTAGGTACTCTTGAATCGGCGAAGGGCAGCGGTGGGCTGCTTGTAGTATGCGGACGTGTATGGGATACGATCACTTCGTCAGAATCGTGACCGATTCTGCGGCGTCGAAGAGATTCGCACGCCGCCAGTCTGTTGCTCGAAGCAGGAACAAGGTGTCCAATGGTTCGAGAGAAAGCAAAGGCAACGAGACAATGTCAGTGCAACTGACCGACGGGAAGGTGGTTAGCGTCCCCAACATCCAGTTGGATCTGACTGTCAATTTTAAAGACTTCGGCAGCCCAGAACAGCTTACAGTTCTTGACAGGGATCTCTACGATTTGATCCTGGGCATATCCTGGTTTGAGAAGCTCGAGCCCTTGATCGACTGGCGAGGCAAGGCAATTGGTTCCACCGCCCTGTGATGCCCGTCTGAGCATTGGTGAGCTATGTTCCTACCTCGGCCAGGACCTGGGGCGCCAGCAAGGCCTTCTAGGGTACCCAAGCATCTAGCGGACGCTTGGGAGGCGTCGCCATATATGACTGCTCCGAGGAGGCTTTGATGGTGGCAGCGCTAGAAGGCGCCGACCAAGTGGGTAACTTAGGTCCACAAGCGGGTAACATAGTTCAGCATACAGCTGCAGCTGTTACGAGCGCTAGTAATAGCGTGCTCGAGGTGGGTATGTGGTGTAGTGATTTCTCCATAGTTGCGGATAATCGCCCGTCGACAAAGACGCGACACCGCCCAAGATGTTCAAGCGACGAACCCTCGGTCATGTGATGTACAGTGACTCCAAGGTGCAAGAGACTCGACGGCGTCAGTACCGAGCTTTCAACGAATATTGGATACGGTCCATATGTCACTGAATCCAGGCTGTCCTTACTATTAATAATGGACTGGCCGGATTCGCATTCAGCGACCAAGAACTGACCATCTACGGTACGAACCCTCGGTGGCGGTTGGGATGAGTTCGTGGAAGACTCAGCGACCCTTGGAAGACAAGTTCACCGTCTGGAACAGGGCGCGGGCCGTTAAAGATACTCATGCGACGGTGCAGACGACGCTTGGCGTGCAAGAAGATCCATAACGGATCATTGTTCACTTGATATTTGTATACTTGATTAGGACTTTTTATTAGGAATAGATCCGAAAGGGTAAGCATAAATACAGAACATAATTTCCACTCAAGCACACAGAGCGACGTCCGGCTTCAAGGTAAGCGTCTGGTCAAGCTTGTTTGAGTGTGTTATGCCTGTCGGTGAACTCGAAGCTCTGTAGCGAGGGTTCATCCGGCAACTGTGTATTTTGGCCGGTTTCTATCGGGATGTTTTTACGTGACGGCTTATTGTTGCCTACAGTACCGCACCCCGTTTTCGCGCCCTTGGACCTTTGATAAACTTCCGGATGTGATGATCCTGAGTCCAAATGAACTATTGTATGTAAGCTAAAATCGGATTTATTTGCAAGTCCTATATGGTCCACTCCCGCGAAAACGGGGTGCAGTACTGTATTTGCACGACTGGGAGTGCTTGAATTGCCCCCCTTTTATTCTCCCAACCGAGTGTTGAACACTCGGTGCCCTTATAAAGGCTTACCCGTGCCTGGTACCCTTCCGCTGTTGGGACCACGAGGATCCATAACACCTGCTAGCTTTGTTCGTGCTAGTAGCGTTTTTTTTTTAACTGGTTGGCCTGTATAAGTAGTTTACAATGTCCCGTTTGTCCCGGTGCAAGGGCAGAACTGGGATCTTCAGGTCCGCCCGAACGATCGTTTGCTATCCTAGCAGACGTATTGTTGTGGGAACGTCCTAACTACATTTGTAGCTAGAGTTCGCGTGGGAATTCCAACACCACAACTGGTGCCGCGACCCGGAAGCAGAGTGTGACCATTGTGAGATGTTTGTATGGCCTTCCTATTTACCAGCTACCAAATGAGGAAGAACAAAAAAAACAAGAAAACTAGAAACATGGCGAAAGGACAACCGACGGTACCAGCTACGCCTGCCAAGTCTGGCGGGGTTCGGAACGAGAGTTCAAGTCCGGATATGTCGGCGGCACGCTTCGCAGCCGCCACCGAACTTTCGGTGAGCTTTGACGACGAGGCGGATATAGGTCCTGACGCCCACGATTATGAAGATTACAAAGACAAGACGCCGGCTCCAGAGCCAGGCGCAGCGACAACGGAGACGACCACGCTATCATCGGGGCTGAGCGGGGCGACTAGGTCCCTTTCGAGGAACCTCGCCGACGAGCTAGATGACGTTGCGGGACCGGAAC